TTGGTGAGGCAGTGGGTCATAAGATCATAATAGACTGTGTTGAATGCTGTGGTTAGATCTAAAAGCAGCAGTAGAGCCGCCCCGCCCCAATCCAGGTGTCTCTGGAGGTCATCTGTGAGGGCGACCAGTGCCATCTCCATCCTGTGGCCATGGCGGAAGCCAGACTGGAATGGATCAAGGATGGATGCGTCATCCAGGAAGGCCTGGAGTTGTTCAGCCACCACCCTCTCAGCTACCTTACCCAGGAACAGAAGATTGGACATTGGGCAGTAGTTGGCCAGGACCATGGGGTCTAATGTTGGTTTCTTTAAGAGTGGATGAACTACTGCCTCCTTCAACTTTGCTGGGAAAGTCCCAGAAGAAAGGAACAAGTTGATGATTTCTCCCAGGGGGACACAGTTGCCAGAACCCTGTCAACATCCTCCTGAGAGGGGGGAGTTGGAGGGGGGATGTAAGGAAGAAAGGGGTTCTTTGGTGCTAACACCATAGCAGGAACCAAAACATCTTGCAGCTTATTATCACATTTTTACAGAGGCAATGGTTTTCAAATTTGAATATAGTACTTCAAGTCTAGTTAGCATGTAACACTGATCAGAGGGTGGTAATCTGCTGAAAAAGCAAAGTAAGCTAGAATCAGTGTGATCATAATAAGCAGATAAGCCATTTGATTCATCAGAACTTGTCATTACTGGGAGATTATTGCACTTCTGTTGCTTCATACAGTGATATGGTATTGTTAGATCAATAAGTGGAGGAGAGTCATGATTGGGGAAGACAGGATTAAAGGAAGACAGGACTTTCCGGGGGACTCACTAATCATCACTGGTTTAGGTAGAAGACTTGTTTGTTTACCAACAGGACCCTTCAGATGCTCTGAATAGAGATGTAAAATTTCCGGAAATTTTGAAGCTCGGAAAAAAACCCAGTTTTTTTCGGGGGGGGGGGGATTTCGTGGGAAATTGCAAAAAATGCTTAATAATAATGTTGAAATTACCCATGTTGTCCCTCTTGTCTAAAAGAAGGCAAGGAACTGATTTTGGGAAAAAGGACAGCACCAGCTTTTGGGTATAAAGGATCTTAGAGATTGTTCTAATCTTCTTTATATTAATTCTAGAAACTGGTATCTTCAACAGAAAGGACAAGTGGCATTTAACTTGCCACTTAGATTACCAAAATATTGTTTTTCCTTGATAGGCTGAAATTTTAAGAGTCAGTCGTACTTGACAGAACTGAAACTAAAGTGTTTTGGGTGATCCTCCTGAAAAGAAGACTCTTTTATCACAGTTAGCTGATCTGGGAACATGAACAAGATTTATTAACAGCTAATTCTAATTTGCTGGAGATCTTCTGCAAGGTTTCTGTGGTCAGAAAAGTCTGTGAAGCTAAAATCTGGAGACGACCAGAGGAATAAGACTCCAGGTTAGCAACAGCAGGATTAGCTGGATCATAAAGGGAGGCATGACTCGAGACTGAAGGTAATTTAGGGCACTCCTGATCATGCTTTAAAACTGAGGTTGGGAAAGCATCGAAAAACTCCTCGAGTTTACTTTGTTTTGTTAAGGACTCCTTTTGATCACCGAATGGGTATTGTCTTTTTTTTCCCTCACGCTGTAGCTTGGGGTCCAAAATGTAAAGGATCCAAATTTGTCAGGGTCAGGTCCAAGAATCAGAATGTCCAGAAGTCTCAAGATTTACAAGGTTTGCAGAATCTCAAAATTTGCAGATTCCAGTTCCAAATAGTAAAATTAAAAACTCTTGCTGTGGATGATAGGGAAGAAGACCAAGTCTTCACACTAAAACACTGTAGCTCCACAGTAGTCAAAAGACGTGCTTAAATATAAATAACTGATAAAATAAGCTGACAAAAGCAATAAATAAGATAGGGCAAAATATTCTAAAAAATATAATATGAAAGGTTTTAACGATTTTAAGTTTCCCACCCCAATGCAACAACTAAATTCCGTTCGATAATGCAACATAGTCCTATTTAAAGAGCCAAGTGTTATTTAAATCGCTACTATTTAAGTGCTATTAACAGGTTAAAAGTTGTACAAAGGAATGTCTAATATCCTTATCGAAGCTGTATAAACAGGCAGAGACTCTCAAGGCTGGCTTCTCATCTTCCCGACCCTGAACTCAAGCTCAGGAGCACAGCCTTATCACCAGGCTGAAGCCGAAACAGGCTGAAGCCTAATCCGGGAGCCTAGCCAACAAACCAGCAAACTAAAAGTAGAAACATTGATTCTGTATGCTTCTATACTTAAAACAACAGATAATTGATAAACGAAAATAGGTAAAATAGAGAGATACAAGTGAGAAATTTAAAAATAAAACAGAGTGCAGCAGCAATACTGCCCTTTCCATCTAGACCGGAACTGGAAGCCTGACATCTGATCTGTCTTTTCCAGTGAGTCTTGTCTTCCCATGATGTGACCAAAGTGCAGTAGCCTCAGGATCTTCAGGTAGATGGAGCATTTTTCACTCCTAACCTTGATGGATGCAATGCCTCCTGGCTTGCTGAGTGAGGGGGGAGGTAGTTGTGAATTTCCTGCATTGTGCAAGGGGTGGACTAGATGACCCTCAAGGTCCCTTTCTGTGTTTCTGTGATTTAGAGAGATGACTAAATCTGCTCTGTTTTAGTAACATAATCTGGTATGGAAAGAAGACAGAGCTCAGCAATAGCTGCTGCTTTGTTCTAACCATGATGATAGTTATGTAGCTTTGTGTGAGATTTTAGGTGTGCATTCAAAATGTCCTGTCCTATTCCTCTTATTTGATTAGTACCATGATCCACAGATTTATTGTGTGCAGCAGCATGCTACTGTGTATTAAAAAAGCACAATGCTTAAGTGTAGAACAGATTAATTGCGTGAAAGGGACAAGTTCAGAAATGCATATGTGTTAAAATAAGCTTAAAGAAACTAACTGGAGATGCCACATGGCATTGAGTTATTTTTGAAATAACAGATTACGCAGGGCTGTGTTTCTGGAGTTGTTCCATTTACTTTTCAGCCCATTTTTAATCATTGTTATTTCTTTTATCTCTGGAGTCTTGGGTTTAAGGATGTCCTCCTTGTTCCCGTCCCTTTGCATTGCTTAAACAGTGTTCGTTAAGACCTTGGAAGTTGCCAGAATCAGAGCTGGAAAGGGATGTGTCAAGATGGAGTAATCTTTTTCTAGTTTCGTTATTGTCAAGATTGTCTTAAGTAAGGAGAAGGCAACATTACAACCTGCAGGGCCTCATGGCTAGCACCAGAATACTTTCAGGTGGCCTTTAAGCTCTTAGATGGCAAAGGTGCTCTACTTAATCCCCCCCCCCCCCAAAGCATCTAGCCAGATTGGTTTCAGATAGTGAGTTTGAAAATATAACACAGAAAACAAGGTATCCTAGGCCCCAGTTTATTGTTTTGCAGAGTTGACAGTTGCAAATATCAGCATTATTTATTCACGGGCTCTTGGTCATGTTTGAAAAACATGTCAGAATGACAGATTACGAGGAAGCAACAAGAACGGTGTGCATACTCTTTCCACCCTTCTATGTGTTGTGTGAATTCACTCATGGATCCTCTGTGGCCCCCTTGCAATGTGCTGGGGGCCCTCAAAACATAGCATGTAACAAGTGAATTGTGTTTGCCAGTCACTTCTGATGTGACCTGAAGGTTCAGACGAGCCAAATGTTCAAATATTATCCAGTTTGGGTTTTCAGAGCATGTGTAGTCTGTGAGCTTACAAGGACCAGGAGCTCCTCCTAGCCTGGTGTATATTGTGTAAATGTCTCCAATAAGCCTTTTTTGCATATAAGCTTATTGTAGGGTTTGTGTATGGATCAGGACTCTGCTTCTCTCCCCCCCCCCCTTCCAGCATTTCCAGTTGCACACACAAAGCCTGTTTGCATGCCCTTGTATGCAGGGAGCCCTCTCTGCATGTGCAGATATCCATGGGCAGGGCCAGGGGGCACACTCCCATTCCCCTCTGAGTTGCATGCACTTTGAATGACTGAAAAGGGCTACTGTACTGTCATATCTTCTCCTGTTTTATTTATCTGAAAAATGTCTTTGCTGCCTCTCTAGTGAACCTGCTTGTGGTGTCCTACAAAAATAAAACATAACCAAAACAAGCAGGAAAACCCACAGAAGTTGTTAATGAATACAAATTCAGCCGGAGGATAAGCTTTCGTGTGCATGCACCCGCTTGAAACTATCAGCCAAAGGATGTGTGTGTGTGTGTGTTGTGTGCCAGCAAGTCACTCCCGGCTCATGGTGACCCTATGAATGAATGACCTCCAAAACGTCCTGTCATTGGCAGCCTTGCTGAGGTCTTGCAAATTGAGGGCCCTGGCTTCCTTGATTGAGTCAATCCATCTCATGTTGGGTCTTCCTCTTTTCCTGCTGCCTTCAACTTTTCCTAGCATGCAAGCAACATAAAACGCTGAGCAGCTTAAAATGAGTCTTATAAAAGAGTTCCAGCTAGAAGCAGACTATAAAAAAGATGCTGAAGGTCAGCCTTTTAATTAAAAGCCTGAGTAAAAAGAAACATTTGGGCCTAGCCCCTAAAAGACAGTAGGGTTTAGGTGAGGTGAACCTCAAGGGGTAAGGTATTCCACAGGTAAGGTGCCACTGGAAAAAGTTGTTTCTGGTTGTCAGCTGCCTCCCCTCTGAAGGCAGCACAGGGAGCAGGGCTTGGTGAGGGAGATCTTAGTTGAACAGTGTAGAGGATTTGGTTGTTCTGTTTCCCAGACATTTCAGAACAAAGACGGATTTTCTTATATCCTGTGCTGGTCCAGTTGTGTGTGTGTTTTCTCTGCATTAGAATTCCAGGTAGCAGCAAGGTTTTAAGTTTACAGTTGAGTCCTAAGTCCAAAAAGCTGAGAGCCGTGGCTGTTTCCCCCTTTCACCCTTACCAGACCTAATGCTGTTTAATCGTGGCATGTCAGATTAGCAACACTGTTAATTCCCCTATTCCTTTTTCTGTTGTTGTTGTTTTGCAGTGATTGCAGACCTGGTTCCTTCTCCTCATGGTGCCAGGCTCATGTTGCTTCAGAGGAAACGTGGATATTCTGAATTCGAAACACCGCTTAAGAGGCAAAGATGTAACAGGATTCTGTATACAGGTGACAATCTGTAGTCCTCCTCCTCTGTGCTCTCACTGGTTTGTGAGTTTTCGTTAGCCAAATTACTGCTGTTGGCTGAAGCGTTACGTTGCTTATGCCATGAGGTGTTTCCTCTCTACATATTGGCAGGTTGTCTGAGAGGACTGGGCTGGCATTTTTGATTATCTGTCCTGGGTCATCGCTTGATTCTGCATCATCTGGTGGAGAAATATACCACCAGGCCTCATGGGGCACTTTACGCAGCCTGTGTTGATTATAAGATGGCATTTGATAGTATCTCACCTGACAGACTATGGCTAAAACTAGAAGCTTCCACAATAGACCACGCACAGTCTGCTTGTCCTTATATGCACACTACCCAAGAACAGTTATTTGTCAGTGAGATGTAACCCACAGGGTCATCTGTCCCACATGTTTCCAGTCAGGAGAGGTATGAAGCAAGGATGCATCCTTGCTCCCTTATTTAACTTTATATAAATTCTATGGCACAAGCCTTATCCGATCCACACTTCTATCTGTCCAATATGGCAAGTAGACCAGTCTCCGCACTATTATATGCAGATGATTGTTTGTCCTAAATTACTTGTGAAATGGTTCTACTCAATGAGGGTAATTCTTGAACCTGAGCTTCTGCCTGTTTATTTAAAATGAAGCTCCACTGAATCAAATGAAACCATTTTCATGTGTACTGTGTGTAGAATTGCAGTCTGGTGTTGGATTCTCTATATTGTACATCCTTTGTGCATGTAATAAACTTCCTATAGCTAACTGGAGATGTGTCTTAAATTCAAGCTCTGCCGTACACGTTATCCTCATATTTTATACAGAGAGCTTCATTTACACCAAAGCTCGTCTGTTGGCAAACTTCATGCTGTCAGCTTTAAAAAAACCCTTTTCTCTTTGTTATTTGCATCTTTGTGATCATGGCTTGTTTTTCATCTGACAAGACACCTTTACTTGCTTGGGGGATTTTCCGATCTGTGAAGCCAACTAGCTACATGAAGGAAATTTACCTTAGAGTAAGCATCATTGAACACAATGGGACTTGCTTCTAAATAGTCAGGTAGGAAGAAGTGGAGGAGGAGAGGGGGAAGGAAAGGGGACCTGGCTTTTATTCCCCCACCACCACTTTTGCTTTTCTAGCCAGAGGGATTCTCTAGTATGTGATGGCAGTTAGCTACTTTAGAGAGTTCAGAGTGCTTGGAATGAGCTTGGATTATATGTATTTGACAGTTTACACTCAGATAATTTGATCCCCCCCCCCCCAAGCTTAAATCTGAGGAGAATTAGGGGAACCAGGGCGTGCAGCTCTCTAGAAACAACCATAATGACTTAGGTTTCAAAATAAGAATGCCAGGCAGCTAGGACCAAGTGTACTCATTACAATAGATTAACTTCTAGCTGGATGTGGATTTCCCCCCCTTGTGCATCAGTTTCTGCATGCTTGTTATGCAGGTCCATGAAAATTAATTATTCCCCTTGATTAGTATTTTCTTAGTCATAGACCTCTTGGATGTGTATTCGGCTGTGTTGATTCTGTTGTCGCCAAAGAGTAAAATATTGTTTTTGTTCAGTGAGGCTCAGCAGGGTTTAAGGGAGCTCTTTGGTACTGCAGGAATTTGAAACTAAGTTGCTGGCAAAAAACCCCGCAAAAAACCCTCAAAGATAAACAAAAACAGGAAGCGTCTTCCATAGGTCTTGTGTTGAATATTTTTACATTTAACCAAACATTTGAGTGTATTCAGATGCATCCTATGTTTGTGCCAAAATGCTGTTGTGGAATGTTTAGACTGGGGGGGGGGGAGTTGCACTTGTTCAAATGGCCGTTTTACAGTCAAAATTTGTGTTTATTAACAAGATTTTTGCCCCACCTTTCTGCCCTCATAGGATCACCAAAGCAGCTAATATATGCAAGTGGTCTTTTATAGACTTAAGCCTAACTTAAGTAGTGTTCTAAATTAGTTTGTGTGTTTGCAATCCAAAGGGTCCATTTATGAAATGTTGGGGGGCTTGTTCTCATGCTGTAGGACTTTCCTAGATTTCCAGAAGTTTCAGGAGTGGAGCAGCAATCTTCCTAGGCTGCAGTCTGTTTTCAGACTTGTGCGTAATCTTCTGTTGGATTAACAAAAACTGATCTGGAATAAAAGTCTCAACTGTAATGCAATCCTTAGCATGCAGTTTCTCAGTATTCCACTGAAGAGAAACATTTATTTCCGTGTTACAGTTGGCAAGCTAAGACCTAGTGACTTGCACAGGACAGCTGATAATAAAATGGCTGCAAACAAGAAAACCACCACTGTATATAAAATATTGTACATTTAATAGGTTTAAATGCTATATACCAACTGTGTCAATTTTATGCACTGTGATCCTGCCGAATAATAAAATGGCAGCAGGGCAGGCATCGGGGTGCGTGTTTCTGAGAGCAACGTCGCACACTGACCACTGTCGTTTGTTCACTGTGAAATGCAGCCACTTTGTGGAACATAATAGCATAAGTGCTGTTCAACAGTGCATAGCAACAGCAAGCACAGTAATTTTCACTTCCTTATCCTGCCCTTCGCTGAAATTGCTATAGGAAGAGGTTTTAGAAGGCTGCCTGTGAAAAATGTCATTTGGCCAGAATGGGGGAAGCAGTCATGTGGCACTTACAAATAATATCCATATAGAGATCCTGGGTTTTCTGTTCCTAACTGCATTTTTCTTTTATTTATTGCTAGTAGAAGAATATAAAGTGGTAGACTGCCTCATCCCTGTTCTAGAGCATCTAAGTTCTTGGTAGACCATGCCCTGATTTCCAGATCTTAACACTCTACCTTAGTGTCCTATGTGATTAGGCAAAAAGCAGTATAGCTGTGTAGATGCACCAATGGCACAATAGTGATAGAGCAACCCCAAATGCTGATGTGCAACATCAGTACACTGATACATCTAGCAAAGTAATTGTGAGAAGCAATACAGGTCCATAGTCTGGAGTGTTCTTGGATCCAGGCCTACTGCTGAAGCAGGTGGCAGCTGTGGCAAGGAGTATATTTTACCAGCTGTGGCCTTTCCTGGACAGAAAAGATCTGGCCACTGTGGTGCATGCCCTGGTTACATCTAGATTAGATTACTCAGTGCGCTCTATGTGGGGCTGTCCTTGAAAAGTGTTTGGAAACTTCAGTTGGTATAGAACAGTGGTGGTGAACCTATGGCACGGGTGCCAGAGGTGGCACTCAGAGCACTCTCTGTGGGCACGCGTGCCATCGTCCCAGCCAGGCCCAGACCATCATTAAAGTGTCGAATTCTCTGCCAAATAATTTTAAGTAAATGAAAGCATTTGGGATTGCTTTCCTTACTTTGTTTGGATCATCTTAAGTTAATGTATGAGTTGTTTTTTCTAAAGTAAAACCTCAGTATTCAGGTTCAATTGCCGTGTTGGCACTTTGCGATAAATAAGTGGGTTTTGGGTCGCAGTTTGGGCACTTGGTCTCTAAAAGGTTCGCCATCACTGGTATAGAATGTTGCAGACAGGTTGTTGGCTGGGATTGGTTGTAGGTACCATAGCATTCCAGTCTTGGCCCATCTACACTGGCTTCCAGTTTGCTTCCGGGCACCGTTCAAGGTGTTGGTCTTGACCTTCAGAGCACTATATGGTTTGGGACCAACATACCTGAATGACTGCCTTATGAACCTGCCTGACCATTGCAGTCATCTTTGGAGGTTCTCCTTCAGGTGACCACAACTTTCTGAGATTAGGCAGGTGGCAACCTGGGAGAGGGGCTTCTTGGTCATGGCACCAAAGCTCTGGATCTCTCTACACAGGGAGACTGGTCTGTCCCTTTCTGTTGCCATCATCTGCCAACGAGTGAAGACTTGTTTTTTTCATTTGGCATTCCCTCACTAAGCCCTCTTTCCTAACCAATATTTTGTTTTGTATGTATTTTAACTCTGTTTTTTAACTCTGAAAAAATTGGTTTAATATGTTTGGGAGTGGGGTTATTTAAATAGTTTTACAGTGTATTTTATCATTGATGTTTTAAATTGTTAGCTACCTTTGCGGCCCTTATAAGGAGAGAAAGGCAGGATATAAAAATACAGGGTGAAGGAGGATTCCCCCACCCCACCCCATGCACTCAGCATAGTGTGGAAGCTTAAAAGTATTCTGAAATAAAAAATGAGGTCTAAAAACAATGGCCATTCACTGTTTTAATGAAATACCACCTCTGCTAGGGTAAGACAAAGGAAAGAAGGCCTTCCCTGAAAAAAATACAGACTAGAAAAGCCAAGTAATGCATATGCAGAGTAATAGACAGGCAAAAACATGCCTGTTTTGAACATTAGCCATATTAAAGTGCTGTTAAAGCTCACCCATATTGGTCAGTTAGCTCATTACAAGTGCTGTAGAAGGCGTGTGAACCTCAAGACACATTTGAAGAAGAAATGCTAATAATGAAAGCCATGAGAACGAGCAGTGCTCTTGAACAGCTAGCAGCAGCTCCCTGCTATGTAGGTCTCCTAGGATATCAGCTTATAATCATGATAAAGGGAAGTTAGTTTCTGAACCTGTAACTAAAGCCACCTGGATGTGTGAGCCTTCTATTTTAATCCCAGTGGTGACTTTCCCACTGCATAATCATCTCTGTTAAAATTTTTAGATTAATTGTAAAGGTGAAACAGGAAAGGAATAGTTTCCTGCCCAAATAACCGTTCTGTGGTTTGAGTTTTGAGACTGTACCTTTGGGCTTTAATAGTTATACATCTGTACATACTGGAGAAAAGATGCAGAAACGAGTGTGGGTTTTTTTGCTTTCCCCCCTTGTCTCTCTGTCTTCATTTACAGTCAAGTACCTAAAGTGAGCATTTTGTAAGAATTCTCTCCCATGGTTCTGTCCCGCTTTTGGGCACCCTGGTATTACAGTTTTTGGAATCAATGTGCATGTGAGATTGTGCCATCTCTCTTGTGTGCTTTGCTTGTTTTGATCTAACAATACTGTATTACTCATTTGCAGGAGATGCGGTTTTCTTGATATGTTACACTTGCACACAAGGTTATGTATAATGAAGATGGGAAATGTACCTTACAAAAAGTAACCTCTACCTATAAGGTAATCTCTCTCTCTCTCTCTCTCTCTCTCTCTCTCTCTCTCTCTCTCTCTCTCTCTCTGACCGCTAATATGTCTGCATCATTCTAGGAGAGCAGGTTATTTGCAAGTGTTATAGTGGAAACTATTCAGGATGTCCAAGCCCACTTGTTCAGTCTTCCCTCCAGGGAAGAGAATCGGTTTCCCCGCATGCAAAATTCTTCAAGAGAAATGAGTGTTTTCTGTTGGTATTTTCCTTTGCTTGCATAACAAATAAGCACTTTCTAGTTATCTGTTGTCAAAACTGACTTCTATAAGAGGCTGAATACGGTTTTGAGCTTTAAATGCCAGAATTCCATCAGTAACTGCTGCCCCACCCGATGTATCACTGCTCCAAAGAGGAACTTCTAAACAGTGTTTAAAGAACTTCTGAGCCATTTCAGTGTTGGTAATTTTTTTGAGTGTGTATTTGTAAACATTTCTGACCCTTTCATTTTTTTGAAAACAGTTTTTACACTGTGGAGTGTGAGCTTCTGTTCTTCTTTCGTTGAAATGTAAAGACAGAACCACCTCTCCCCTCACCCCTTTGCATAAATTCTCAAGTCAAGGAGAGAAAAAGTTGCTGGTACATTCTCACTTGCAATATGTACCTTCTGAATTGTGGTTCCAGCTGTTCTTGCTGTATGCAGGTATCAAAACTCAGTGTTGCATAATGTGGCCTTAAAAGCACTTCAGGCCCCTGAGACTTCAGAAGTGAGATAAAGATGCTTGCTTCCCCCCCCCCTTTAATATTTGAATTCTTACTACTGGACACCTTCCCCCTTTATCTCCATGCAAACTCTTGCTTTAAGAAGCATCCTTCATATCCTGCCTGCCTTGGGCGTTGAATAGTGGCTCTCAAAAGATGGTACAGTTCATTCTAGTTTCAATGTGAAAACTAGGCACTGAAACTCTCTTCAGGTTTTATAATTCAAAGGAAAATCAGATACAGTAGTTTGAAGTATACTCAAGACTTCAGCACAATAATGCGCTTGGGTGCCTGGTCGCCTTGAAGGCTTATCCAGAATGGAAGATAATGGCAGACACAAAGTTGCTCTGCCCGTGGTCTCAGTTGACCCCCAAGTGTTACTCATGTTGCATAAAGTTTTGCTGTTGAGGGAAGATCTCTCACAGGCCCGTAGCTAACATGGGGCCCACGGGGCCCGGCCCCCTTGTGTTTCTTCTGGGCTCCCTCCCTCCAGGGCTGCCCCCAAAGTGCTCCAACTTACCACCTGCACTGTACTTCCATTTAATTAGCTGACGGGCCCCCCCAAGGCCCCCTCCCAAAGAATTCCCTAGCTACGGGGCTGATCTCTCAGCCTTCAGGGATGGTTCTTGGGGTTGGAGGAGGCGAATGGAGATGCAGTGAGAAGGGGGAAAACGGAAAAACTTCAGTGCATTGATACCAGCCATGGTCCTTTGGATCCTAAATACTACTAAGGGGTGGTTGTTGTGGTTGCTTTCCTCCTCGCTTTCCCTTTTCTCATTCGTCTGTTAATTCTTTGTCCTTTGAAGGTGACCAGAAGAGACCTCATGACCCTTCTTTAGGAGGTGGATTCTGCTAGGATGTTACATCACCACTGTCGAAGGAACCCCGAACTACAGGAGGAATTGCAGATTCAGGCTGCAGTGGCTGCCGGGGATGTTCACACTGTGCGCAAGATGTTAGAGCAGGGCTACTCTCCAAATGGGCGAGACGCCAACGGCTGGACCTTGCTCCACTTCTCAGCAGCAAGAGGAAAAGAAAGATGTGTGCGCGTGTTCCTCGAGCATGGAGGTTGGTTGGCTTAACAGAGAAGGATTTATGGTTGCCTGGCAAAGTATTTGAAGACATTTATCTTGTTCTAGAGAAAGAGACTCCAGTCCAGCCTTTCAGGCCTCATTTTGGAATTCATCTATCTTGTTTCCCCCTTTTTAAAAATAGGTAGCGTCTCCCCCTCAGCCCCCTCTTTTTCTAGTTGGTTCCACAAACTGATGTCATAAAGTGTGGGTAGACACAATTGAGCTGGTGGTCAGAGGAATTGTTTTCCAAATCTGCCATGGGGTGGCAGCCTTCTGTTATGTCTTTGAATAGCGTTTTCATTAGATAAAGAAAAGGCGTAGAGCATTTATTTTCTCCAACCCTTTATAAGCAGGAATTGACCTGTAGAAATTCATGTTTGTTCTGGCCCCTTCTGCTTTAACCCATGAATGCCTGTGGGGTAAAGAAACTTAACATCCTTCAGAGTTATATATAAAACGAACTGGGACATCATATTTCCGCAAAACTCTGATGAATGTTGTGTTCCCCAATAACTAAGTGCCTATTGATAGCTGGTGAAGATATATTTGTTAGAGGCAAGTTATAAATCCTGATTTCACACAATAACAATAAGAATTAGGGCCTTGTGTTAAGTTTTGTTCATGTAGTTAGTTGCCAGCTGCTCTTTCAGTGTCCTGGCAAGAGCATTTTAATTTTGGGGTCTTTGCTGGTGGTCTCACAGTGGGGGGGAAATGATGTGAACAGCCGTACTGATCCACACTAAAATCCAAATCCAGGAACAGAACCAGTGTCATACTGTTTATTAGGAACCACTGTTCTCTCTTTTTCAATTTTGTAACATTGAGCTTGGTGAAGAGTTCTGATGAGCTCGACAGCTCACACAGTGTTTTGCACCAATTATTTGGTCCTAATATGAGGTTTTACGTGGATTTTGTTCCTGCTTTTGGATCTCTCAGTGAACCAGTGAAACAGAATTTTGTTGTTTTTCCTGTGGCTATACTTAGAAGCAGGGCTATTTTGGGGCAGGAACGCACAGGAACGGAGTTCCGGCTGGCTTCCGAGTTGGCCACGCCCAGCAGGAACTCATTAGCATAATAGGCCACACCCAACAGCAGAAACTCATTAGGACTGGCTACAATTAGGGGTGTGTGGCCTAACATGCAAAGGAGTTCCTGCTTTAAAAAAAAAGCCCTGGGTTTTGTCAACAAAGAAGGTAAAGAGAATAAGAAGCAAAAGGTGGGTGTGGCTGGGTTTTGTCAACAAACAAGGTAAAGAGAATAAGAAGCAAAAGGTGGGTGTGGCTGGATGACCACACTTCTGGTAATATTTTATTTTATTTATTTATTTATTTATTCTGGGATTTGTATCCCGCCCTACCCATATGGCCCAGGGCGGCAACAGACGGCAAACGCCGAGAATAAAACACACATGGGGGTGTGGCCTAATATGTGAATGAGCTGTGCTGTCAGGGGTGCTAATATGCTAATGAGTTCCTGCTGTTGGGTATGGCCTATTATGCTAATGAGTTCCTGCTGGGCTTTTTCTACAAAAAAAAGCCCTGCTTAGAAGGAAAACAGAAGCATTGCGAACTGTAGGAACGAGAGGTAACATTAAAGCATCAAATCTCTCTCTGTGTGTTCTGGATTTTTTATGCAGTGTTCTCCTTATATACCTGTGCATGTTCTGTTTAAACAGAAAGCTCTTACTGCCACATGGTGCTTGTTTTTGCTATGGAACTGGTCCTTTCAGTGGTGGCAGTAATGAACATCAGTTTGTGCGCCCCCTGGAATAGCTTTGCCCTGACTTCCCACCCTGACCTTAAAGTAAAGCTTTTAGTCACAATGGTCTGCAGGAGAGAAGAGTTACAGTTTCCGCTTGAAGCTTTGGGGTTCAAATAAGGCATGCTCTTCATACTGCACCATAAAATTAAGACCCAGTATGATATGTGGTGGCTCAAGTGGTTAAGACGCTGAACTGCAGGCTGTGGAAGGTCAGTAGTTCAGCTGTTCGAGACCCGAGTGTGCCGCATGACGAAGTGAGCTCCCATCCCTAGTTCCAGCTCCTGCCAACCTAGCAGTTCGAAAGCAAGAAATTGCAAGTAGACAAATAGGTACCACTTCGGTGGGAAGGTAACAGCGTTCTGTGCGCCTTGGTGTTTAGTCATGTCAGCCACATGACCACGTAAACGTCTTCGGACAGCGCTGGCTCTTCGGCTTTGAAACAGAGATGAGCACCGCAACCCTAGAGTCGGATTCGACTGGCTTTCGAGCAAGGGAACCTTTACCTTTTAATGATAAATAGGACATCCAATTTGGCCAGAAGATGGCAGCACAGTGCTTGTAGAACAAGATGTTGGCTAGAGCTAAAGCAAATTTCCTCCCAAATATTCTCCAGGTGGTTTTGCATGCGCAGATATTCTTCAGACATTCTCTGTTGAATAGCTGTATCTGACACCTAGATGTACCAGTTTTGATATATGACATTTGATAATCTTTTGGTATGTTTAAAAATTGGTGTGCAGTGTTAGTTATCCTTTGACGATTATAGCTGCTATACAGTGGTTACGTATTCAGGGAATGTTGTGCAATACAGAACCAGGCTCTTTATGGAGGATTCTAGGGCATGTTGTAGGGTGAGAAGACATAAGGGCTTTGTTGTACTTCAATCAGTTGCAAATGTTCAACTGTAGAAACAGGTGAATCCAATAGAAAAGGGATCCAGTGAAAGCCCATAATCTTAAATAAAATTATAGAAGTGTCACAGGAGTCTGGTAAAAATGCCATTTATGTGACTTACTGGAAACTGTTTAAATTTGACAGGTTGACTCTTTTTGCTCCTTCAGATGGTAAGGTATAGGCTTTCTGGAATTATTTGTTAAAGAGCGCAGATTATCTTTAATAATGAGATAATCATTATTATTAATCCTGGCCCCACTGGTGGACCTCCTGATGGCACTGGTATTTCTGGCCACTGTGTGATACAGAGTGTTGGACTGGATGGGCCTTTGGCCTGATCCAACATTGGCGTCTCTTATGTTCTTATGAGAGCTAACGGGTCTGAATTTAAAATGGATTAACAACTGCTGTTCTTTCAGGTCACTTCCTGCCTCCCCAGAAGCAGGATTCTTCTGTTTCCCTTGGAAGACTTCACTAGTTTGCCCACTGTGCTTGTTTTTTACTGTTTTAAACCAATTTTAGTGATTTCTAAGCTTTTTACAGGAATCTGTTGTCAGTTTGTTCAGAACACACTTTGTAAATGTCTTAATAACAACACATCATTTGTCTAGCACCAGATTGTGCCCTGTTTGTGCTTGAATAATTGATAATGTTTGGAATACACGTCCAAGTGTTTAGTTACAGAGATTCTTGTTTCTTTCCTTTTTAAGTGGACAAAACATTTACCAGTGGTTGGTCACTTTCTTACTTGGGCCCATTCTGTTCGTTGGTTTCATATCAGTATGTGCAAGTTGTATCCAAGTCTGCCATGGTTATTTCTTGACTATATAGCAGAGGTCATTTCGGGGGGAGGGGATCACGGGGGATCGCAGTTCCCCCGGGTGAGGGGGCGGGGCACACGACGAAGCCCCGCCCCTTGCTTCCGGCCGCCCCACTTCCGGCCCTCATTCAGCCAGGAGGAGGCAGGAGAAGAGGGAGGGTAAGTTGCTTCCTCCCCGCCTCTCCCCACCCCTGCCTGCCTGGGGCCAGGGAGGGCCTTGGCGGGGCTTCCTCGCACTCCCGCCGGCCTTGCAGGTCCACCGCCGAGCCCCTGACGTCAGGGGGTGTGACATATGCTAATGAGTTATGCTAATGAGTTCCCCTAGCTCTTTTTCTACGAAATTACCCCTGCTATATAGGTTGTGTTTACATGTAACATATTTCTATAAAGGGTTTAATTTAAGCAGTAGGCCTGGAGATGTTGATCTTTTCGGAAGCCTTTCTTTGTTTTTCATTGCTGGGGGGGGGATGTTAACAGATCCAAAACCTAATTGCTTAGGCAAGAAATCAAATGTATTTTGAGCTAGGATATGTTCTTTATTGTAGCAGCCCTAGTAGCCCAGGCTTGTCAGAGCTTGGAAGCTCAGTGGGATTGGTACTTGATGTAAGTCCAGCAAGAAAGACCTGGGTTGTTGTGCAGAGGCAGGCAATGGCAAACCAACTCCGTGCATCTCTTGCCATGAAAACTCCATGAGGTGGAAGGAGGAGTAGTAGGAAGAGAATGAAATCATCCCTCTTCCATCAGCAGAGCTGTCCTTGCAATTTTGTCCCCTTCCTATACCTTACTGGTCTTCAGCAGTCCTGGGAATTAACTTCCCCAGAATCAGAAAAGACTGCTTTGTGAAGAGCAGGAAAGGAGCTCCTTACACTGACGACTCAGCAGGATCCAGCCCTATAATGGCACTGCCAAAGGTCTTATCTCGCTTTTATAAGGAGGTGAAACCAGCATTTAGGATCGGATGCCATGCCTCTTGTCAGTTCTGTACAAGCAAGGCACAGAGAAACCATGATGGAAGGGAAGCATGTTTGTGTGATGGTTGCAAGAATATTAAATCTTATCCATCTGGCTCATTTTCTTTACTCTAAGGGCTGTGATATCTATACTGATATTTTGTAATTCGAACATCATTCTTTTCCCTTGAAATCTCCCACCCCCACCCCTTCCTGTAGCTCTGACTTAGATGGCCCAGGCTAGCCTGATCTCATCAGACCTAGAAAGCTGAGCCATGTCGGCCATGGTTAGTACTTGGATGGGAGACCACCAGGGAAGTCCCGGGTTGTGAAGCAGAAGCAGACTATTGGCAAACCACCCCCGAATGTCTCCTGCCTTCAAAACCCTACAGGGCTGCCATAAGTTGTCTGTGACCTTACAGCACTTTCCCCACACACACACCCAGTTGTAATTAGATGTTTACATTCTTGGGTTATCTTGGAATTTTGTGAAATGATAACCCGGAATGGATTATTTTTGTGTTACAGGAATTAGTTTATCTAGGTGATCTGAGATAACACATGGCTTGTATACTTTAGAAATGCTGCAGAATATAGAGGACCTTTCTTTATCTCTTACAGCATTACATCCTGTCCCCCAAACAACCTCATCTCGCCAAACCACAATACATCCTCAACATGGGCCAGCAGATGTTGCTACACATGCTTCTTTTTAAAAAAAAAGGGGTGTGGGGGGGGGGGGGAAGGTGAAAGAGGCATGAAATTTTAGAGCTTGAAGTACCTGATCGGTTAGATTTAGATTTCACATTGAAGGCTAGGAAACTTGACTGTGAGAGAATTAAGGAAAAAATCCCTTGAATTTGGCTTTCAACCAAAACAGAGTCAACAGGGGAAAATTAACTCTAAACTGTGTCCAGCTACTACTGCTCAAAAGCATCATTTGATAGATTTGTATGTCACAGTCTGAAATTTGGGCTTGGTTGATCCCGTTTCAGTTTGAGCTGTCTCTTGTGGATTGGCCTTCTGCTCTGCTTTTCATTTTAAAATTCTGCACATAATATTGATTCATAGAACACTTGCATTCATTTCCCAGCAGTTAATCATTGTTCATTGAAGAAGAACATTTTGAGAAAACCAGTGGTGTAAAACCATTTTAGTTAACTTAATACTTTGTTCTACGTAATTTGCATTCCTTAGCAAAATAACAGTTTTGTTATTGGCTTCAATACCTTGCAAGAGATCTCCTGAACATCTTTGTTGCTTTATATTGTGGTTACCACTGCTAGTCTGCTCAAAAAGGGGGGGGGTCCCCATAATTTGTGACAAATGTGTTAAATCCTTTTCTGTTCATCATTTTAAAATAAGTCACATGGTCTGAAAGCAAAGCCTCTGAAGCATTGCTTTCCTTTTCAATTCCGCAGCCGCTGTCTTTACACCACTAAACCACATTTTAAGTTCCCTTAAGCGTCAAAGCAGTTTTGAGATACGAGACACTGATGTGAATTGAAAGGTACAAAATCCTAGAGGCAGGAACCCAGTGTCTCGTGCGCCTGTGTGGCACAGTTGTTCAGATCAAGGCTGCTGGACTGGCTTGGACCATCGACAGGACAATTTCACCCTAATGAAATGATCGATACCATTTTCAGAGACCATCTCGTCGTATGGAGCACTTTATTTGTCTCTGCTGTGACTTAATAGCTTTTAATGTTTTATATTGTTTTTATGTATGGGCTTGTGCCCCTGTGTAAGCCGCCCTGAGCCCGTTCACGGGGAGGGCGGGGTAAAAATGCAATAAATAAATAAATAAATAACACCTGATTTAGTTTCCAGCAGGTGAAAGCAAAGGGCTAACTGTTGTCATCTCCCCAGTTCTTTTGCAATATTTATTTTAAATCAATAAAAATAATGTTCTAAGGCTCTGGATTAATTCTGGGTCCTATGAAGTGACTGCTGGATAAAAGCATTTTGTAAGCAACCTTCCCAACAGATCTAATGATGTTTGCGGAAAAGCTGACAAAGGGAGATTTGACTCTTGAAAGTTTGTACCCCGAAAATGTAGTTGGTCTCTGTGGTGCTAACGGGGCTCAAATCTAGCTCTTCTACTGCAGACCAACATGGCTACTCACCTGAAACTGTTAGGGGAAAGTTATTATAGTTTGCCTTTTTGTATGTTCTCACTGACGACAAACTCTTCTGCATCTCCCACCCCCCACCCCCCCAATTTTAGCTGATCCCACCGTGAAAGACTTAATTGGAGGTTTCACCGCTCTGCATTACGCAGCCATGCACGGCCGGGCCCGGATTGCACGCCTGATGCTGGAATCGGACTACCGTGTTGATATTATTAATGCAAAGAGCAACGATGGCTGGACACCCCTGCATGTGGCGGCGCACTATGGTAGAGACTCGTTTGTCCGACTCCTGCTGGAGTTCAAGGCTGAGGTTGACCCGCTCAGCGACAAAGGTACAACACCACTTCAGCTAGCCATTATCCGTGAAAGGTCCAGCTGTGTCAAGATCCTCCTTGATCACAACGCCAACATCGACATTCAGAACGGCTTCCTGTTACGCTACGCTGTGATCAAAAGCAACCACTCTTACTGCCGGATGTTCCTGCAGAGAGGGGCAGACACAAACTTGGGGCGCTTAGAGGATGGGCAGACACCGTTGCACTTGTCTGCTCTTCGGGATGACGTACTGTGTGCACAGATGTTGTACAATTATGGAGCAGATACTAACACAAGGAACTATGAAGGACAGACTCCACTGGCCGTTTCAATAAGTATTTCTGGAAGCAGCCGACCTTGTTTGGATTTCCTACAGGAAGTTACAAGTATGTATGCTGAAACATCTACTATATAAATTTAGATACGCTTAGTTTAATATCCTTCAAGGTGTTCCTTGAATAACGTAGAATAATGGGTACTTACTATTTAAGATAGTTAGATTCTGCTTTTCTACTCAATGGGAGTGCATAGTAGTTTACAGCATCATTCTTACAATTTTATCCTCGGAATAACAATCCTGTGAGGTAGGTTAGGCCAAGAGTGTGTGATTGGCCCAAAGTCACCCAGTGAACTTCCATGGGAGAGTGGGAATTCAAAACCAGCTCTCTCAGATCCTAGTGCAGTACCAGAGTTTTGCTCCAATCTCTGATCTTGGCAGAAGGCTCTCCGAGATGGAGGAAGGTTCCCACTTTAGCAGGCCAGATGGCACCTGGTTTTTGGCCACTGTGTGGCACAGTGTGTTGGACTGGATGGGCCATTGGCTTGATCCAACAGGGCTTCTCTTATGTTCTCATATGTTCTTAACCAATCCAATGAATTTCTTATTTCACAAATTATTACTAGTTTTTCTAGGAAGTCTAATAGCACAGAACAGCCATACTTCTGAATGCTTCTGTTCCCTCTGAATGAATTCTGGTTGAGAAGCTTTGGAACTGTTAAAACTTGACATCAGTCCACAATAAGCACAACAATAGGCAGAATAATGAATTTTTGTGAACAACTGAAAGTTGATGCAAAGAAAAATGAAGATCTTGTGAAAACTATTATTCTAAATGTTCAAGATACTTTCGAAATGGGGAAAGGATGCTTTCTACTGCTTATCCTCTCTAACACTGTTGTATTATTTCTAGAATGGGGAACTGAGTGGTCAATGGTGCTTGCTTTTTTATTTAATAATAATGTCATCTGTCGTATTGGATTACAGTGGGCCAAACCTGCTCCCTCCATAGTATGTTACTGTGGGCACTCTCTCCAGCCTATTTCTTCTTGTGATGTGTTGGAGATCAGAAGGAAAATGGCAAGGTGAAATCTATACAGTGCAGGAGTTTTCCCAAGCTGTACACTCTGTGGTAGTGCCATCTCACTTTACATTCTGAGTTGAGCTTGTTGCTAAAAAAGTGTGGCACATAATGAGTTATAGTCCCACATCATTGTACGATGCCAAAATCATACAGTGGCTACAGCTGTAAAAACTCCCTATTCTACAAGAGAAAGATAGTACCCTATCATCTAACATTGAGCTTAAAGTAACTTTAACATTTCCAGTTATTAATTTTTAACACTTTAACCACTACACCACATTTTCCAATCTTGAAAAAAATATGCATAGGGCAAATGGGGCTCTGTGAATTTCATGGCACATTTGAGGGGATATAGGAGATTCAGCCTCACTTGAATTTCTTGTTTGGAAATTAGTAAAAAGCCCAGTAGCACCTTTAAAGACTAACGAACTTTATTGTAGCATAAGCTTTCGAGAAACACAGCTCTCTTTGTCAGATGTATGGAGTATCCTCCATGCATCTGATTAGGGTTGCCAAGTCGCAGCGGGGGATCGTGTGTCCTTGCAGAATCCGTGCCGCGGGGACGGCGAGATGTGTTGCACCTGCCGTCGCCAGGACATGACGCTACACGTCGCTCTGGCAATGGGGCTCCAAACAGCCCCGTTGCCAGAGCGACGCGTAGCATCATGTCCTGGCGACGGCGGTGCAATGCGTCTCGCCGTCCCCGCAGCACAGATTCTGCAAAGACATGCGGATCCCCCACCGCGATTTGGCGAGATTTGGGAGCCCTACATCTGATGAAGAGAGCGGTGTTTCTCGAAAGCTTATGCTACAATAAAGTTTGTTGGTCTCAATGGTGCTACTGAGCTTTTTACTATTTTGCAGCAACAGACGAACACGGCTAACTCCTCTGGATCTATAATTGTTCGGAAATGAAAGCGATGTTTTTGGTGACTATTGTGTGCTGATGTCACATTCCAATATCATCTTTCTAAAACATAAAATGTTTCATTAGTTAGCTTCTTAAAATATGTATTTAGCATTTTAATAACATCTGGAAACTATTTTTTTCTTAGTAACTTAGATACTTTACCTCCCCTTTCAATGTTTCCTTTAAATTTCTCTCTAATGATTGAGTGCTTTTCAAATGTTTTACAGTTTCTTTTCATTATCACTTCAGTTTGCATGCCTTCAAATTTTCTTTTAGTGTTTTAAAAACAAGCATCGTTTCCATGGTCTTGCTTCAGTTTGTAGATGCAAGTAATGCACTTTAATATCAAATGTTTGGCACAAGAACTCAGCTGGTTTTCTTTTCCATTGTCTCCAATCAGCCTTTATTGAGTTGCTTCTTTGTTTCAGGAACACATTCACAATTTTCCCCTTATGCTTTAAAATAATGCTGGAGATATTTGATATACAGTGTTTTTAAAATCCTCTTTCTTACCCAAAATACTTCCTTGGCACTCCTGAGAGACTGTAAGATACTTTTCCTGGTGGTCCCCCCCAAAAAAACTGTTTTCTTTAAAAATACTCATGTGTCGTTTCAGTATCTTTACTAAATGTGTATAGACTGATTCAGTTACTTTTATGTTTGCATTTCTGACCTTGTTCCTTCCTTAATTTCTCCCACTCTCCATGGTTCTTCAGAAGCCATTATTTTCCTTTTGGCTTTTTTGTTAAAACCATGGTATTCAGCTAAAATATACATCTTTTATATAATATGTATTCTCAGTTTTTGAGAGGCGTCTTTCTCCCTTCTGTGAATTGATACTTATTTGTTTTATTTTTATTTTTTCATTTTTATACCACATCCTCTCCTGTACAGTCTCAGAGTGGTTTATAATAAAACATTCAACAATAATCATTCGCTAAAATACTTCTAACCATTAAAATAGCACCAGCTAGTGAAATACAATAACAATAAAGAATTCATCATTATAAAACATCAATAGGTATAAATAAGCTCCATTCTATCTCCTCTGTACTTTGTTATGGTTTTTCTCTGCACATCATGAATAACGTGTTCGTGTGAGGTGCAGTGCTTCCTCTAAACTATGGAGTCATGTGAGCAAAAATTCTACTTTGTGAGCTACTGGCATGAAAGTTGTGAGCAAGTTATTTGGCTACTTTATAAATCCGTTTGCTCTGGAGCCCTCCTTCCTAAGCTAAGGCAAAAATGTGTGAGCCAGAGGCTAAAAAACTGTGAGCTAGCTCACACTTAACTCAACTTAGAGGGAACACTGGTGAGGTGTACCTTCTACCTAATCATTGGACATTTCTGTGCACCTTTTTAATCCTGCTTGGTTCTCCCCTCCACCTGCTCACTTCCTTTCTTTGCATATTTAGCCTGCTTATTTTTTTTTAAAAAAGGCCAGAGCAGATCCTCTCATTTCTAAATAGGCGTATGTTTAGATATGTGGAGGTGAAGGTTGCAATCCTAATCCTACTTAATTTAGGATCTGTGGCGCTCACTTCAAAATGTGTTTGTGATTATGCTACACCATAATTCCGTAGTCCATTTTTCAAGACCCTTTCCATTCTGTGCCACATTCGTGTTTTCTACATTAACACTGTATGTTTCTCAGTGATTGTTGCAGGTGGATTACACACAAAGCCTTTTGATTTTGTTTATTTCCTTCCTCCCCATGTCCTTGTTAATTTGAGTGCAGTGTCTTGCTCTCTGTTCAGAAATTTGAACCAGTGTATTTATGAAGTTCTCACTGTATATTTTTTATTTTCAAAATGTTTATGAAATGTGTTTTCAACTATAGATAATTGTTGAGATTTGAGTTAGCTCAGAAGCAAGCTAGCTGAGCACACATTCCAGTCAGCCTCCTGTCCCCCCCCCCCAGCATGACTGAGGTTCGCTTTGCTCATACTGAGCTCAGCCTGTCCCCATCTATCATCAGCCTCGTTCTGTTTGCACCAGTATGCTGCACTCAGCTTCGTTTGCACATCCCAGTGAATCCTCCGCTTACCCTTGTGTTCTCCACCCCCACCTTAAAATTTTATGTCAGGTATATTTTGGTTGGGGGGGGTGTTCTAAACAGCCAAGATATTCGTGCATACCTTGGGGGTTATTCTCTGCAACAGCGTGGCCCTGTTCCTTCTCTCTGCTTCATTCTTATTTTTACTTCCAGAGTATTCTTATCCAGCTTACCCATTTTACTTAATACAGGGAATGTTTCACTTGCTCATAATAGTGTTGTTGTTTTTTTAAAATTGCCAGTAAAACTCTAGGATGTTCCCAGGATGTTGTACAGTCACACTGTAGGTTCAGATGTATTATGTAGTGATCTATGCCATTTGATAAGACAATCAGGGGGCCTATGAGATTTACAGAGGGTGGAGGGGGGGATTGCATCCTTTTTGTATCCCAGTCACTTGCCAACCTGTCCTCCTACCTGCACTGTCACTGCCAACATCTGCCTGGCTAATGCTGGGTGGGTAGCTACCCCCTAGCTGAACCTGGCCCCATTCTCTGGGTTTTTCTATCTGCATAGGTGTCGTGTTCAGAATTAGATACACTACTGTTCTTTAGCCGTGCAATTTAGGACCACAAAGGCAATTTTTCATCAAATCAGCCCCAGGCAAAAATGTAATACAGGATGTACCACCAGTGATCCTTCATAAATTGGATATAAGTGTATCAAGCCACTATTTGGCATGCTTGTGAAAAGCCAAAGTGCTACCTACTTCTTGTACTCTTTTTTTTTTTTAAGGGAGTGACTCATGGTAGCTCTTCCTTGAGCAAAAACTTTGATTACTTTCATTGTGAAAGATGGCTCTGTAGAGAGCAATCCTACACAGTTACAATCAATCCTATTTGTGTCTATTCAGTGGGGCTTACTCCCCAGAAAGCGTTTTAGGGCTTGTGCTGTTACAAACCACCCAATGTAAGTCTGATATGGAGAGGTCCTCCACAAGCAGCTGGAGGACTATAAACAGAGAGGAGCAGCATGTTGTGGAAGACAGGCCGATTGAGCCATTGCCTTGCAGAGGGAGATTGGTCTGTTGCAGTGCCGTCTTTGTTAAACAACCAGACA